GAGAGCTGATCTCCAATCCACACTTGATCAACGAGCTTGCGGTGCCCCGCTCACAAGATTAGAAAAGGTGCCCGGCGCTCAGCATTTGATCTGCGAGCTTACAGTGCTCCGCTCATAGAATTTGACAAGGTATCCTACGCTACATTCTTGATCAACAAGCGTGCAATGCTCCGCTCCTAAATTTTGCCAAGGTGCCATGCACTTTGTACTTGATCAACAAGCTTGCGGTGCTCCGCTCATAGGATTTGGCAAGGTGCTGTGCACTCGGTCGTGAGTCTTGCACCTAAGTTGACCTTCCATTCCGGTCTCTCGAGGTTGATCTGGATTTCTTCGACTAGTCATGCTCAAAGTGTATGGCTGCACGTCAGTGAGTCACAGCCGACCACCCGGGCCATAGAAGATATGTGACATCTTCGTCTTCAATCTGTCATTCTCCGCGCGTAGGAGCACGGGAGCACGGGCGTACGGGAGCACGGGCGTACGGGAGAACGGGAGCATGGGCGTACGGGCATACGGGCATACGAGAGCACGGGCGTACGGGCGTACAGGATCACGGGCGTACGGGAGTACGGGCGTATAGGCGCACTGGCGTACAAGTGTACGGGCGCACAAGTGTACGGGCATACTTGGCGTACAGGCATACTGGGTGTATGAGCGTACGGGCGTACGAGTCACAACCGACCACCCGGGCCATAGAAGATCTGTGACATCTTCATCTTCAATCTGTCATTCTTTGTGCGTAGAAGCATGGGAGCATGGGCGTACGGGCGTACGGGAGCACGGGCGTACAGGCCTACGGGAGCACGGGAGCACGGTCGTATGGGAGCACGGGCGTACGGGAGCACGGGCGTACGAGCGCACGGGAGCACGGGCGTACGGGCGTACGGGGGTGCTAGCGTACTCGCTATCTGACCCGGACAAGCTATCTGACTGAGAGGCATCATCATTGGTAGGAAGAGCGGGGTTCTCAGGCGGGCCGCCTGGAGCAAGTTGGGGACGGTTTTTGGGGATGACGATTTGCATGGTTGGTCCGCCCGACGTTGATGACATGGCTGGTTTTTCCTTTGGCGTTGGACCGAGTTGACGTACGGTTGGCGTATCCGTACGAGTGTGGGCGGCGTTATTCTCATGCATATGATTTGAGACTTGCGCTCCAGGACAAGGTTTTGCATCCGAGCCTCCCGGCAGAGACGGGCCTCCTGATGAAGATCGGAGGTTCACGTCGCCGGGTTGAGCCCGTGCCACCAAGCTTCGGCATACGGGCGTACCGACCCCGGGCTTGCGCTCCAGGACAAGGTTGTGCATCCGGACCTTCCGGCAGAGACGGGCCTCCTGATGGAGATTGGAGGTTCACGTCGCCGGGTTGAGCCCGTGCCACCAAGCTTCCGGGCTACGGGCGTACCGACCCCGGGCTTGCGCTCCAGAACAAGGTTGTGCTTCCGGGCCTCCCGGTAGAGACGGGCCTCCTGATAGAGATCAGAGGTTCACGTCGCCGGGTTACGCATGTGCCACCCAGCTTCGGCGTACGGGCGTACCGACCGCGGGCTTGCGCTCCAGGATAAGGTTGTGCATCCGGGCCTCCCTCCAGAGACGGGCCTCCTGATGGAGATCGGAGGTTCACGTCGTCGGGTTGAGCCCGTGCCACCAAGCTTCGGCGTACGGGCGTACCGACCCCGGGCTTGCGCTCCAGGACAAGGTTTTGCATCCGGGCCTCCCGGCAGAGACGGGCCTCCTGATGGAGATCGGAGGTTCACGTCGCCGGGTTGAGCCCGTGCCACCAAGCTTCGGCATACGGGCGTACCGACCCCGGGCTGGCGCTCCAGGACAAGGTTGTGCTTCCGGGCCTCCCGGCAGAGACGGGCCTCCTGATGGAGATCAGAGGTTCACGTCTCTGCCTCGCCAATTGGATTCCGCGAACTGTTGTCTTGATATTGCTAATTTGCTTTGATTCTGTCCTTTTGTTGAATTTTGACTAGGGCAAAATTAAGACCCACTCAAAGAGAAGTCTAACAGTGGCAGTCATCATCTTCCACCAGCATCTTCGGAGCCAGAGAAAAGGCGGAGCTCAAGATAGCGGCCGATCCCCTGAATATGACACTTCTCCTGCCTTCCCAACTCGTCGGCCAACAGAGGAGGGATCAAGGCGGAGACCGGCGACACAACTACAGGGTGGAGGAGTGACCTGTTATCTGCGATGATGTGACGGATGTTGACGGGCGAGCTACGAGCGGTGACCACAAGCGGTTGAGCGTCGATTTCCATGGACCAGGTCGAATATTTGGAGATGAACCCTAGGCTCGAAGTCCCGGTCGTCGCTGCTGTTAATATGCAGAGGAAAAGAGCTCTGACCTCCGTGAGGAGGCTGTGACCTCAGGATCTGGCCGGCCTAGGAGAGATGGCGGCGCTGAGATGTAGACATGGCAGTGAAGAAACGGGCGAAGCTTGGACGGAGACGGCCCAGATGGTGACCTCACATGGCTCGGATCTGGAGGAACGAGCTTCGAATAGCGTCTGAAGCGTATGATTGGCCTGCAAACGTAACTGCTGCGATGGAAACGGACGCCTCTGGCCACGAGACCAAATTCTTCGGTTCCTCCATCAGATTTGAAATCCCAAATCGGTATTGTTGCTTAGGGCAACCCTTGGAATATAATCGGTATTTTTTTTAACTAAGGGGTTGAGCAGCGATTGGTAGGGCCACTGTAGCAAAGCGTGATGGGGTCGGACTCGAGATACCGAGGCGATCTTATGACTGCGGAATGCTTGGAAAGGTGGACCATCCTTCAGCTTCGGCAAAAAAAAAGGATGCAAATTCCAGATTTCTTTTTTATTCAATTGTTTTGTTATGAACTAATTCAAGTTTCTTGAATTTCGTTGGGAATTGGGATGAATTTTCAATTGATTTTCTGCTCAAATCTCTCCCCGTTTCTACCGGAAAATGTGAGAGATGACTCTCAATGAAAGCACCAATGTTGGTAGAAAATAACCCGGGTAGAGAATTCGGCAGCATTTCAGTATAGTGAGAATCCTCCCCGAATACAAGGGATTGATGGCATATTTATAGACGTATACAATATGCCCACCAATTAAGTGCTACGTGGGTCTGGCCCGATTAATCTACTATTACTAACGCTAATGGGCCAGCAAGCCCAATAAGTAATTGAATAATCCCGGACCAATATCCGCTAGTCGGACTGTGATGTGAGCTTGGTCGAGCCAAAGCTCGGGTGTAATGGGCCGATAGTCTTGGACCCGTCCCATTATCCCAACAGTAATACTTATTTAATTTGGATACTGCATCTTTTAATAATCTAAGGGCATTTGGGAAAATCAACTGTATTTCTTATTATACCTAAAAACTCGTTAAGTCAAATATGGAACTTAATTTCAGGGCAGTGAGAATATATAAAGTGATGAATAGTAAAAGTTTGTATTGTTTGAGGAAGAAAAGTGGCTTTCCAAAGTAAAAGTTGATTTGTGAAAGAGTGCTTTAAACACTCTTTTTAGTTTTTTTTTCACCCAAAAAGGCGCAAAAGTGAGGTTTTAAGCCCTTAGAAACACTCCCTAAGGCACATATGCATGTTTTATATAGTTAAATTACCCTAAATTGAACTAAAAACGTTTGTATTTCAAAATAGGATTATCATGTTTTTACTCTTAAAATAGGAGTAATTAATGTCATGTTTTGGCAGTACAAGACTTTAAACATGACGATATTTTTCAAGCTTGAGTATCTACTTCTATTTAAGGAATAAAAATATGTCAGTCCTACTTTGAAATTCTCGAAGATTTTTATTCTATTTCGGGAAATTTCCCTTTTACATACCAATGATGATCCCATGATAGGGTTTCACTTACAAAATAGAAGCGAAGTCTGTACGGATAGACAAAAATCTACCAGCACTTATTAATAAAGTTGGATAATTGTAAGATTATATAAATAATCAGTACGAACAAGAGATTGAAAGATAATTTCTTCTATTGACATACTTCCTCTGGTTCTTTTTTAAATGTACGTTGGATTTTTTCCATTATTCACATGTTCTACTTTGACTTTATTTTATTTATTTATGTATTATAAATTAAATTAAAAAAATATTGTTAAATTCCTCTCATTTTAAATTTTCAAAATCTAATTTCTTTTTAATTTTTTTACTAATAAGGAATGATAGATACTAATGATCAAACTTGTGCATTGGCAAACGTGAAAAGTGGACCGTTGCATTTAGAAAAGAACGAAGGAAGTATATCTTAGTACAAAGGAGTAATGGAAGAGCTCTCTCATGGAGAGGCCATGGTTTCCCTCCTAATGAAGCCCATCTTAAAGCCCATCTTATAGGTTGAAGGATAAACACATAAATACATAGATATTTACGTATAAATCCGCTAATATATGTAATCTAATAGGCTAATAGATGAATAATCGTTACTTCTTTTGTCTCAAAAAATACTTCCCTTTTTGAATTAGCGCAATTACTAAGAAAGTAGGAATAAACTGGAAATGTACGGTTATGATTGAGTAAGAAAAAAATAAAGTAATGTTAGTCACACAAAACTTTCCAAAAAGCGAAATTAAAAGAATTTTTTGGGATATTCCAAATTGGTAAGTGAGAAGAATTTTGTAGAATGGAGGGAGTACGTAATATAATGAATTAAACAGGATGAAAAATATATTAGTCTGTTGCACATTGATGACTTCATCAAGGTCATTGCTAAAGATATTCTGCCAAACATTGAGTTTGATCTGCTCTTAGGTACCGATCCGAGCTAAAGATATTCTTGTCACTCCTGCATTTTAACATCTTTATGAAATTTATTTTTGTTTTAATCCTATTTAGTGAATTTTCTCTTTACTGTTTGAGTTTTTCTTGGGTCCCCTACGACTATATCCTGGCTCCGCCCCTAATTGATGGGAGAAGGATTAAGGTTAAACGAATAAAAAAGTAGGCCACGTTTAAGATTACAAGTAGAGTGTAATAATTTTACCAATATAATTGCAGGTGGAAATGAGGAGCCAAAATGAAGAGAAATTGAGCATGTTGACGGCATACAAGAAATTCGTCCTACAGGAGGAACTGACTTCGTCATCATCATCAGGTTCTTGGCTGCAGTTTCTTAGAGACACCTTAGCTAACCTGACATTTGCAGGGAGGGATACAACCAGCGTAGCTCTGACTTGGCTCTTCTGGCTCCTCGCCAATAACCCCGGGGTGGCTGCTAAGATACGGGACGAGATCAGAGACGCCAAGCTATTTAGCGACAGCGGCAGCGAGCATGCCTTGATTGAGAAATGCCGAGGCAAGCAGGAACTGGTCTACCTTCACGCCACAGTGTGCGAAACCCTGCGGTTGTACCCTTCAGTGCCGCTGAACCACAAAGTGGCTGCGGAGGTGGACCAGCTCCCCAGCGGGCACCGGGTCAAGCCCAACACCCGCATCATACTGTCCTTTTACTCGATGGGGAGGATGGAAGCAATATGGGGCGATGACTGCCTTAAATTCAAGCCGGAGCGATGGATCACGATGTCCTCGAGCTCTGTTTTGAATTTGAAGCACGTCTCGCCCCACAAGTTCCCGGCCTTCAATGCGGGACCCAGAACCTGTCCCGGTAAGGACATGTCTTTCTTTGTCATCAAAATCGTTGCCGCCTCCATCATACATCGCTACCATTTTCACCTCCCCCACGACGATAGAGCTCATCCTGTCACCCCCAGCGACTCTGTTGTTCTTGAAGCCAAACATGGCTTCAGAGTGAAGCTCTCTCCTCTTTCCCACTCTCAAAGCTCACCTACCTAATAAGCTGATAGCTTGTTGTACAAATTTTATGTATACAGTCATCTGTTTGTTATAAATTGTTGTAGTTCTCTATTCATCTATTTCCCTCACCGAATGTAATGTGTTATCCTAGCATCAAAACTTATAACATTTGAATTAAAATTTCAATTAAAAATTCTACTTATTTAATTTGCACCATTGCGAGTTTATTCAATCACTAAAACCGAACTCAAAATTATCATCATTACTTCAATGGCGCAAAGTGAGCCAGATGTACGCATTTTTAGCTTACTTCTGTACTAAAGCATACATAGATTGTTTTCGAATGTCCTATTATGAAAATCGTATCGAAAATTGCATGGACTGTTGTTTTATAACCAAGAAGCACAGACAATTTGACAAGCCAATTTGCTTTAATCCATCGTATTCTCAAACAAAAAATAGTGAATTTTTTACTCCAACTCAAAATAAATTAAAAAATTCATTACGCAAAGTTATGATTTGGACTGCAACGAAATTGGTCGATTTATCTGCATTAACATTGCGAAACTCTCCTTTATCAGAATCAATGATCGAATGAATCGGACTAACCCTTGTTCTTCTTATCTTTATCAACAATGGGTTATCCCACCAACAACTTATACACCATTCAAAATCAACAACATTTGGACTGGCCCACCCAGATAATTAAACGAATGATTATTTTTTCCATCAGTAAGCACATAGATAGACAACCAAATTGAGGATGGCAATGACATCGAGACACCGGTGGAGAAATAGAGAGACTCGAGGGGATCTCGGACTTCTAAGAAAAAATTTGTGATATACATATTTGTCCCTATGGTTGGACTCGGGTCCGGGCCGGGTCCGGGTCGGGCCTAGGCCCGGGCGGGCCGGCGGTTCAAGAATGGTGGACCCAGGACCGGACCGGGTAGCCACCGGGTCCGGTCCGGGGCCGGGCCGGGCCGGGCCTCCGGTTTGGTTTTTTTTTTTTTTTTTTTTTTTTTGCTTTCCTAACCCCCACCCTCACCCCCCACCCTCCCAAACCCCCTCAAACCCATCCTACCCATCAAGCCCAACCCGGGTGGAACCCCAAAAATGAAAAAAAAATAAAAAAAATTCAATTTGGCCCGGGCCAGGGCCCGACCCGGCCGGGCCGGTTCACCAAAATTGAGACCCGAACCCGGACCCGCCCTACCCCCGGGCCTAGGCCCGACCCGGACCCGGACCCGGACCCGAGAACCGGTCCGGTCCCGGTCCCGCACATTAGCGGGCCGGGCCGGTCCACGGGCCGGGTGGCCCGACCCGAGTCCAACCATATTTGTCCCCCTAATATGACATTTGTAGCTCTGCCATTGGGTGGAAATCTATGAGAGCAGCCAAATAACTGTTAGAAAATGTAACTCGTAGGGTCGGAGTGAGTGAGATATTTCAAAAATACTTTCTCAAATAACTGTTAGAAATTAAACTTGACTTAGCCATAATAATTAATGGTTTATTAAATGTCAACTTATTGGGTTAAGACTTGTATGAGTAATAATTTAATTGGTTAGCCCGTATTAGTGTTAGAGTTGGTGGACAACAAGCTCTCACTATCAAATTATACACTTCTAACGAAGCATGGGCAATACTACACAATCAAGGGAGTTGATAAGGTGACGAGTGTTCGTCTTCAAACTCTTAATTAGATGTGATCTTAGAGGTGATCTGATTTTGAACTTCTTAATTGACAAAATCTAATTCAATCAATATCTTACTATTATCTAGAGTTTTGGTAATTGTAAATGAAATGAAGAGAAATGGAGAGGAACTAAATGACATTAAGTTGATTGAGAAAATCTTTTGCTCTCTCATCAAAGGTTGATTATAGTGTGGTGGCCAAGAGTCTAATGACTTAGACTCCTTGCCCATGACAACTGATCTATCTTATGAGCTCACTAGAAACCCATAAAGAAAGAAATATGAAAACTAAATGTAATGAATCATTGGAACAATTTCTTTACTCAAAACTCTCTTTTTAAAGAAAGAGAGTATTTTAAAACTCACTTTATGCTTTTGTCTATCTTTGTTGACTGATATTAACAACTTGTTAGGATCGTAATTCTAAATAACAATTATTTCTTTATTTTTACAACATTAGTCAAACTAAAGTGCACCTTTCATTCCCGAATAGACGGAACATGTTTTTTTATATCAAGTGTCCAAGTTGTCCAATCGATTAATTGAAACACGGTGTCAAAATAAAAATATAAATAAAAATTACCCAATATAGGAGTAAACATAAACATAATTTCACAAATAGGAGTAAAACTTAAAACTTCCTTCAATAGGAGTAAACATTAATTTTGTACCCTTAATATCCCTAACCTAGTTAATTCTAAAATATGACTTATTTAATCTTAACCTAGTTAATTCTAAAATATGACTTATTTAATCTTAAACTAGTTAATTTATGACTTATTCGATAATAATTTATTTATTTTTCAAAAAATAAAAATAATTTTTTTTTAAAAAAAAACTCAAAAAAATAAAATAAAATTCACCGCCGCCTCTGCCACCTCTGCACCACCACCTCCAGTCACCAGGGGAAAAAATGTCAAGTTCATTACGAATGCCATATTTATGACAGAAAATAATGAAAATGTTGGCATTCGCAAAGAGAAATATGCCATGTTTTTGGCATTTTCAGAAAAAATGACAGTTTTTAGGAAAATGGATTTTTTTTTCACCGCCCGGAGGTGGTGGTGTAGGAAGGTTGTACAGGCGGTGGGAAAGACATCCATTTTTTTTTTTAATTTTTTTATGGAGTTTTACTGTTTTTTATTAATTTTTTAAAAAACTGAAAAATTTTAAAAAATATATTTTGTAAATTTTTTTATTTTATTAATATTTTATAATTTTTTTAATTATTTTTTTACGAATTTCTGATTTTTTTTTGAATTTATTATGAACTAAACATTTAATTAAAAGTTGTTGGGGCTTAGGGCTTGGGTAGGGGTATACTTGTCCAAACACTAAAGTTACTCTTATTCAAAACATGATACTACTATTTTTGCATTTTGCCTATGTTTTGCTCCTATTTGGAGAATTCTCTCAAATATAAATGTCATAAGTTCAAAAATATTCAATAGGAGGAGCAAGTGGATAGAGCATTACTCTAATGAGAAGGTGTAATCTCCTACCCACACTTACATAAGAGTCCTATTTGCTTGCCCCTTTTGTTGCATAAAATATGGTCATATTTACTTTTATTGGTCATATTTGATAAATAATACTCTCCCGTTAGAAGGTTCCCATAGCAAAACGACACGTTATTTAGACAATAATTAAATAAAGTAATTCGAGTATATTTTGAGAAATAATTTTAATAGGTATATATTATAATGTAGTTAATATTAATAACTGTGATGTTATAAATGTATTATTTTTAATATTTAATGATTAATTTGTTACTGCCTCCGTCCCAAAAAAAAGTCTTGCTTTGACTTCACATAGATTAAGGAAATGAATTTGACTTCACACCATAGTGACATTGTTTGGCACTGTAGTGACACTGTTTGGCACTGTAACGACACTGTTTGACAATGTTTTGCACTGTTTGACACTATTTGGTATAGATTTGCATGTTTGCCAAATAAGAAAAGTAAAAAAGTAGGGCAATTATTTTGGGACATCCATTTCGGAAAAGCAGGACATTTATTTCGGGACGGAGGGAGTACTTAAGATTGTTAATTGTTTCCTAAAATGGAAATGAGAACCTTTTGAATGGGATGTCCAAAAAGGAAAGTGAGAACCTTCTATTGGGACAAAGGGAGTATCTTTTAATATGAAATTATTTAAAATATGAAAATTATAAGAAATGATTGATGGATAAGTGTACCCGGGGGGTAGCTTATCCGAGGGGTTACTGCGGGGAGTAACATAGAGAGAAGTCAGAGCAAATAAATAAGAGAGAGAGAGAGTATTCAGTATGAATTCAGCGTGTTTTACAAATGGGGAAAGGGTGCTATTTATTGCAGCAATAAATGCTAAATAGGGACATGTGTCAACAATCTGATGGTCGAGGGGTCACCTCAACTGGGGCGGCACCGGCACTCGCATGTGGCCGCATTAAATGCGGTGGTTGGATGTGACGTTTGTACTTGGTACGTTGATCTAGCGCATGCGGATGGGAGATTCTGACGAGGAAGGTGCCTTCGGCTGTATATGATTAGCCGAAGGCTCTTCAACCCGAGGGCCTCTTTGTGCTGAGGGCTACTGTTTTCACCGTTTTCTCCCGGTAACTTCGAGTGCCTAAAAGCAGTTGTACTGTAAGTTTATGAGCCTTCAGACATGGGGCCGAAGGCACCAAAGTGTACGTCGTGGGCTGCTTGGCACTTGGGGCGCTGTGATTTGGGCCTATTGTGCTTCCTGGGCTTATTGGGCCTTCGTTATAGTAGTGGGAGTCTATGGGCCGGGGGGTTCCAGGGCCATATACTCCATCAGGAGTCCCTCACCCCTTTTGCCGAAAGGTACTTGAGGGAAAATGAATAAATGCGTTTGTCCTCTGATGCTGGTGTTTTGCTCTGGAGATCGCGGAGTAGTTCGCATGTTTTGCCGAGGGCAGTCCTTTAAGTCCCCCACATCTTGGGGCCGAAGGAAATTTTTTACATTCGTCGTCATTTTGTGAATTTCCCGAAGGGGTCCTCCAGTCCCCCACTCCTTGAGGCACATGTAATGTGGTGAAGAGGAGTAAAGTGGTGCCTGTTTTCATCATGGGGCCGAAGGCTTATGCTTTTCGTTTTATTTTGGGGGGATGCCTCGTTAAAAACCTCATTAGGAAAAACCCTTTGGGAAAAAATCCTAATGAGGGAAAAAGAGTGCACTGAAATCCCCCAATGATGAATCAAAAAAGGTGAGCCCTCGGTTTGAGATGAATAACAATGTTGCCGTCGAGAGGTGCCCGTGAGTTGAGGGCTTTTCCCTGGTTTAGCCGAAGGCTGCTTGTTGGTATCCCGAGGATGCCGAGAGGAGTCCTTCAGTTACCTGGGCTGAGGGCGTGTTGACATGGGTGATTCCTCCGAAGGTGTCCGTAGTTGATTAGCATGAGTAGGCATTTCGAAGACTGCCGAGGGTAATCCCCCAGTCCAAGAGGCTGAGGGCTTGATCGTTGTTGATGAA